CTGTAAAACAAAATTTTAATTTGCATTGTTCAAATTAAGAGTCTATTCGATCTATATTGTGTTGTACTGTATAATAAAGTTTTAATTCGCATTGTTTACATCTAAGTCACATGTCTACTATCTCTTTCTCTTTTTTTCATTACATTATAAGCTTTTAATGTTTAACCTTTCTCCCATTATATCTAAACACATTTCAATCAATTTTCACACAAACACGTGCATTTTCTCTTCCATCCAATGGCATGGTAGATGATTGTCCAATTAGTTTATGATGACTTACTTCTTGTAGTTTATTGAAACTAATAAATTAATATTTAAGGTAGAAAAATAATTAAATAAATTTTTTCTAGTATTTGACCTATAGTCGATTTAGTATTTTGTATACAAAAAATGTCTTATTCTTTCATCAAATATTCCAATCTTAATTGCTTCTTTTCTCTTTTCTTTTTCATTTCTTAAAAAAATGAATTAGAAAATAATACTCAAATTAATAAGGATTAAAAAATGAATTTACGAACATAGAGATCAAACATATACCTTCTTGAATTATGAGGACTAACTAATTAGTTTTGTAAATTATAGTGAGTAAAATATAATAAACTGCTGCTCAGGAGAGCACGCGCAGGACTTCACTATTTTTCGGGAATCAATATCAAAGGGGGTTGGGTGCGTCCACATGTTCATGCTTTATACAATTGGATCACATTTGTGTGTGCAATAATTAATTAGTTTTCTGATTATAAATTCTCCTCGTTAGATTTGTTTTACTAAATTCAACCAATCATCAACGACAATGAATCTAATTAGCAAGTACTTGCGTGTACGGAAGATCATACTCTAACCAATGTTTGCTAGGGCTAAATAGCAATAGAAGCATATAATATAATGGCATGCTTCCATAACGAATTAGTTTTTTTTTTTTTTCTTTTCCCCTAAACAACTTCTTAGTTGCTTTAAAGATCTCTCAAAACAGTTATTAAACTAAAACTTTACTTATGTTATCAGAGATGACATTATAGCTTTTATTTTGACATTGAGATTTGAGAAAGCTAAGACAACTAACTCTTCTATTCTTGGTGGCAAAACAGAAGGGGCAGTTTAAGTGGATAGCACCGATGGAGGGTTGGATTAAAATTACTAGAGATGGGGCAAGCAAGAAAAATTCCGTAGCAGCTAGTGCTGGAGGTCTGAATTTTGTAATTGAGAAGTTTAATCGTCATCTTATAATTATTTGTATATATATGTGCTATTGTTAGAGCACATCTCATGGCTAACAAACAAATGTCTAGTCAATGATGATGAAGCAAACATAGGCTCTCCTTCTCTCTTTCGTTTTTAGAGAGGAAGCCTCTGAATTTTGGATTTTTATACGTCTGAGACTTGGGAGTCTTCCGCTTAAAGCTTGTTCTTTCTCCTTTGGAGGCAGCTCCTCACTCCTTTCCTTTCACCCATCAGGGGTTAGAGGAAGTTTATTTCAAGGAGATTTTGTTTTCCTCTAAATAATCTCTTCTTTTGCTCTCTTTTTAATGGAAAACCATGGGGATTGGAGCTTAAACTGAAGGTTGAGCGAGTGATGGGGTTTGTAGGTATGGTCCTTCCATTATAGCAATCTCATGGCCAATCTTGGTACTGACTAATTTGTCAAGCGAGATGAAGCACCTCCGCACCAAACCGTACGTATTTTATTGTAAAGATTTGTATTGGTTGGAGATGAGTTTTGGATGTTTAGATATGCTGGTTTCCGATATCAAATCAAGCCCAACAAGCTTCGACGAAATCCATGTTTACAAAATGCTATCTTTTTCTTCGTACAGATTAGGGTTAAGTCACTAATAGTGAATCAATTTGTCTTGAGATGTCTTATTTTTGGTCTTAGTCTTTTCAATTATTATTATTGATTTTTTAAAAAATAAAAAGTATAATTTTATTGATACTGAAAATAATAAATATTCATTATAATTTTCATAAAATTCAAATAGACATTACAAACTATTATAATTTTCACAAAACTCAAATAGAGATTATAAATATCATAATAGATTCTAATTAAGTGCAAAAAAAACTTGTTTATTAAAGGAAAAAAATATTAACCTTCGGAGTTGCATCTTGTTCTCTTTATAGACTTCTAAATGAGTTTTCATGGACTTTTAAATGAGCTTTTTTTGAATAATAGGTTGTTCACAATGTTTTCCTTAGTGTGTTGTTCACAATGTTTACTTAATAGGCTGTTTACAATATGATTATTATTATTATTATTATTATTTTATATGTCTCAATTTCAAGAGAACATGCTCTACTACCAAGCCAATAGAAATGACAAATATGTCATAAAATGTGGTCCTATGGAAATAACAAGTTTGCGATACATGTTGAAACTTCTTTCGATTGACGGATCTGACAATAACTATATCACTTTTTTTTTCTATTGACATATCTATCTGACAATTATACCGCTTTCATGTAAATAATAAGTCTATGATAAGATGTGATTTCATAGAAATAACAAGACTATAGGAAAATATTAAAACCACTTTTCATTACTAGATTCGATAGCTACATCACTTTTCATAAAAGCAATAAGTTTGCGATAAAAAAAAGACTTTATACAAATTACAAGTCTGTAATAAGATTTTAAAACATCTTTCTATTTATAGATTCAAAATCTATACCACTTCTAATAAAAATAACAAGTTTGACATAGATGCATTCCTACAAAAGAATAAAACGCATTATTAAGCCTAGGCTTACAAAAGTAATAAATCCGTAATAAGATGCATTTCATAAAAATAATAAGTCCGCAATAAGATGTTAAAACTTTTTTTTATTAACGGTTTTGATAATTATATTAATTGATATATCCGATAAGTATATCACTTCAAATATTTTTAAAACTCGTAATTTTATGTTTCCATCCATCATTTATTTTCAAATGAAACTACAATTTGAGGACAACAAACTAAATAAAAAGTAGATATGAAATTATTAAGAAAACAAAGAAAATATCTGAGAAATAGACATGAAATTATTAAGAAAATAAAGGGAAAAAAAATAAGGGAAAGATTATGGGACCATCCCTAAAAATTAATATTGTTAAAAGGGGGTTCAGGTACAATGTAAAGAAAGAAAGAAATTATTATTATTGAATTTATTAACGCGTCTTAGATAATTTACCTTGTAAACTAGGTTTTGAGAAGAAATTATTAGATGATTTTATTTATCGAACTTATGAATTGAACCAACCATGACATGACATATTTATAAAAAGGGCGTAGAAACCTTTTGATGAACGTAAGAATCCACCTGTGTGTCATATCCAACAATTTTAAAGCCACGTGGCACACAAATGAGTCTGGTTTAGGTGATTTTTTAATTTACATAGAAAAAAGGAAAATAAAAATAGGAAAAGAAAGAGGTTGATGGTGGTTTTGCTTTGGAGGGTAAGAAGAAAATAAAAATAGAAAGGCAAATTAATTAAAGAGGAGAGAGAGAGAAAGAGAGAGAAATAAGCGTTTTTCTCTTTGGTTATAAAGAAACGTATTCAATAGAGAAAGAGAGAGAAAAATAAAATCAATCTTTTGGGGGATGAGTATTGAGTAGGACTTGTTGATTCAAAAGAGCGTCTAAGTTCTCTTCATGTATGCATCCCTTCCCCCACCGGGTCCCACTTCATATCTATTGTCCTCTTTTTCTCTCTCTCCTTCCTACAAAACAACGGCGCGGACTCTTTAATTTTCTTTTCTATCTCATTTATCTGTTTTACTACAAAACCTCTTTTTACTCTCTCTCTCTCTCTCTCTCTCTCTCTCTACCTGTGCCTGGAAGCGTTCTTTTCTTTCTTTTCTCTTTTGTGCCCTTGGCGAGATCTTCTACCGTGACTTATTTATTCTTTCTTCCCTCCCCTTTGTTTCAAATTTGCTTAACATCTCGAGAGAGAAGCAACAAAGGTCTGTTCTTTCTATCTTTCTCTCTCTCTCTCTGACGAACGAGAAGGGCTTTCTCTTTTATTTTGTTAGGTCCTCACATACACATAGCCCATTACAGTTTGTGCAAAACCAGGCGGTGGTTTTGGGTCTATTGTCTTTTTATCTGTCTTTCTTTTTATATTTTATTTTTTAGAGAGAGATAAATTTTGTTGGAGTTTGGTAGTGCAAGGTTTTCCTTGTAGTATAAAACATGTTGTATTAGTGTAGAAAAGTTTATGCTTGCTTGGATTGGTTTCTCCTATATAAAATGGGTAACCTAGCAGATTTCAGCTTTTCTTGTCTCTTAAGCGTAAGTGTATAGTCATAAAACTCTCCGTCTATATTTCTATGCCACTGCATGTTAGAGATCAGTAAAAATGATCTATCTGGGTTTTTTAAGGTTTGGGTTTTCTGTCTCTTGTTAACCTGCAATGCCATTTCTTGTTTTTTATTGGTGGGTTGTTGTTTATTTTTTGTGAGAGGAGTAAAGTTGGTGGGTTTTACCATTTTTATTGCTGATTTCTTATATCAAGGTGAAACTGTTTTTCTTTCTGAAGTGGGGGTGATCTTTTGGCTTGTGCCTTTGTTATGTTTCCTTTCTTCTTTTAGGAAAAAAAATGGTTTTTTATTTTTTTTTATTTTTAATTTTTGATCGATGAAAATGTCGCGTTCTATGCTACTGTTTCATCTTCTATTTAATATATTAATTAATTATGTATCTAAAAAATCAGAGAGAAGAGAGAAGAGAAAAGGGTATGCTAAAGTTTAGGATACGAGAAATTAACTAATTTATGTGCATTTGTTGCAGATCCACATATTAGGCCTGATTAATTCCTTTAAAATCTGAATGGGATTTTAATCTTGTTAGAGTTTTGTTTTTATTTCTTACAGGAAATGACAATTGAAGCTCGAGGTGTTTGATTTCTATAGTTAAAGGCAGCTGCTTTGCAAATTTTTTGAAAAAAAAAAAAAAAAAGATTCAAACTTGTTGAGCTCATAAATGGATTGAGATAGAGGTAGCAGCCCATATTGGCCGCAATGTTAAAAGCATTAGCTCCTGGGCTGCTATTGATTCTTCTACTCCTGATATCAGTGTCTGCGAACGACAACGGATTTTCTCGATGTAATTGTGAAGATGAGGGCAGTTTATGGAGCATAGAGAGCATTCTTGAGAGCCAAAGAGTGAGTGATTTCTTGATTGCTGTGGCCTATTTTTCAATCCCTATCGAGCTGCTATACTTCGTTAGCTGCTCAAATGTCCCATTCAAATGGGTTCTCTTCGAGTTCATTGCTTTCATTGTTCTCTGTGGATTGACCCATTTGCTCAATGGCATGACCTATGGCCCTCACACATTTCAGCTCATGCTTGCCCTCACCGTCTTCAAGATTTTAACTGCTCTGGTTTCCTGTGCCACTGCTATTACCCTTTTCACTCTCATTCCTTTGCTTCTCAAAGTGAAGGTGAGAGAATTCATGTTGAAGAAGAAGGCATGGGATCTTGATCGTGAAGTTTGGATTATAACGAAACAGAAAGAAGCTGGGTTGCATGTTCGTATGCTCACTCAAGAGATCCGAAAATCGCTTGATAGACATACAATTCTGTATACCACCCTTGTTGAGTTATCGAAGACATTGGGGTTGCAGAATTGTGCTGTTTGGATGCCTAATGAGATCAGAACTCAGATGGATTTGACCCATGAGTTGAATAGGGGTAATTATTTGAGTTCTGATAATCTTTCAATTCCAATAACTGATCCTGATGTTGTTAGGATCAAACGAAGTGAAGCAGTAAACATTCTTAGGCCTGACTCCGCACTTGCTGCTGCAAGCCATGGGGAGTCTGGTGAGCCAGGTCCTGTGGCTGCAATTCGAATGCCGATGCTTCATGTCTGCAATTTCAAAGGGGGACTCCTGAGATGATGCAGACTTGTTATGCGATATTGGTATTGGTTCTCCCAGGTGGACAACCCAGATCCTGGACAAACCAGGAAGTAGAGATAATTAAGGTGGTAGCTGATCAGGTGGCTGTGGCTCTCTCCCATGCTGCAGTTCTTGAAGACTCCCAGCTCATGAGGGAGAAGTTGGAGGAGCAAAACCGAGCTTTGCAGCAGGCCAAAATGAACGCAATGATGGCAAGCAAAGCTAGGGGTGCATTTCAGAAGGTAATGAGTGATGGGATGAAGAGGCCAATGCACTCGGTCTTAGGTTTAATTTCAATGATACAGGATGGGAATTTGAGTGGTGAGCAACGAATTATTGTTGATGCGATGATGAGGACTAGCAATGTCCTATCGACTTTGATAAATGATGTGATTGAAATTTCAACTAAGGATAGTGGAAGATTTCCTTTGGAGATCAGATCTTTTGGGTTACATGCCATGATCAAAGAAGCTGCTTGCCTTGCCAAATGCTTGTGTGTTTATAGGGGCTTTGGTTTTTCAATTGAGGTGGACAAGTCCTTGCCGGATCATGTTATGGGTGATGAAAGGAGGGTCTTTCAGGTGATTTTGCATATGGTAGGGAACCTACTTGATCGCAACAATGGAGGAGGGTCTGCAGTGCTTCGGGTTTTCTCTGAGAATGGAAGTCAGGAGAGGAGTGATCAGAGATGGACAACCAGGAGACAAAGCTTGTCTGATGGGGATGTATATATCAGATTCGAAATTGCAATAAACAACAGTGGTTCTGAATCAGAGGGCTCAACTTCAATGTCACAACTCAGTGGTAAGAGGTATGCTAGTGATGGAGTTGAGGAGGGCTTGAGCTTCAGCATTTGCAAAAAGCTGGTCCATGTAAGAATCATAACCTTTGTATGTATAAATGCACTCATGTAGCTATCCTTTTTTCAATACTATGACCTGAAATACTTGACATTACTGATACTGGTACTAAACTTATGCTTGAAATCAATTGCGAGCACAACCTTTATGCCTCATCATTAGGACCTTCATTTCTGTGTCCAAGGTGCATTATGTCAGTGAAGATGATTAAGATATCTGCATGGTTACAGATATTGTGCAGAATCTTTATCTCATTATACTATTAGGGTACTTACTCATACTGAGCACAATCTTTGTCGGATGAAACACATTATCCTTGCTTGACAACCTCTGTAGATTGCTTAGGGAAGCCCTTTTGCTGTGATAGATGATCAACCTTAGTGAGTCTTTTGGGGGTGTGTGCGTATACCATTTGGAGCTGCAATAAAAAGGTGTTTTTTTTTTTCAAGGTTTGTATTTTCAATATTTGTTACAGTTGTTGTGCCTTATTATACAAGTTCTCTTGGATGGTGTCATCTATTAAATATATTGTTGGAAAGAACTTAGTTCTTTATGTTATAGAGTGAAAATGTTGGTGCTTTGAGATGTGGATGAAATGCAAATTCTGGAAAAATTCAGCATCTTGCTATGGCGTGGAAGCAAGTAGTTAGTTGTAATAATATTTTCCTTTCTTGTTACTGGGCTTTGAGTTTCTCAATTGAAGCAACTATGTGGCTAAATAGCTGTTACGTTGTAATAGTTTTTTACCCTGCCAAGTTTTTTCCCCCTAACCTCCTTATATTTGGTAGTTGATGCAAGGTAAGATCTGGATGGTCCCCAATTCTCAAGGTTTTGCTGAAAGCATGGGGTTTGTTCTTCGGTTTCAGCTTCGGCCATCCATTGCAATAGCCATCTCTGAATCTGGAGAATCTTCAGATCACCCCCATTCCAATTCTCTTTTCAGAGGCTTGCAAGTTCTATTGGCTGATGCTGATGATTTGAACAGAGCTGTAACTCGGAAGCTGCTTGAGAAGCTAGGTTGTACTGTTGCTACTGTCTCATCTGGGTTTGAATGCCTTAGTGCTATTGGTCCAGCTGCATCTTCTTTCCAAATAGTTCTTTTGGATCTTCAGATGCCTGAGTTGGATGGATTTGAAGTTGCCGCAAGAATCCGGAAGTTTAGAAGTCGAAGTTGGCCTTTGATAATTGCCTGTACAGCAAGTTCTGACGATGATGTGTGGGACAAATGCTTGCAGATTGGAATCAATGGAGTCATTCGGAAACCAGTTGTTCTACAAGGAATTGCCAATGAGCTTCGAAGAGTCATCCTGGCAAACAAAGTTGTTTGATGACACACTCTGCAAGTCCCAAAACTGCTGTAGCTTTGATTCTTTCAGAGCAGTTTGGGTGTCACCATTGAATAACCAGACAACATTTAGCCTCTGAAATACCACCAATCTTTTAGCTTAGAGATGTTTACATATACAACAGTTACATTTACAATGATATACAAATTTAGCTCGTCATTTTCTTGATTGATAGAGGTTTATCTTCCTCAAAGTTACGTTTTGCAGATATATTCTGTTAAAAGACGAACAGACAATCCTTCGAATGCGTAAATCATTCATTTGTCTTGTGGATCTGACATTAATACTCTCATACCTACTAATTGGTGTACTTGTATAACTTATCTAATTTGTTTGTTTGCTTATTATTTTTTATAATACTATAAAGAAAACACAATGCATGCGGTGGAAGCCATTTGAAGTTGATTGAATGTACTTCTAAGTTTTTGATACGAGTAGTTGAACGGATACATACAGTGGTATATGATGGGCATCTCATACGTGGAACATTCAAGAGTAAAATTAAAACCTTGGTCTTTTTGAATGAAAATGTAGATATTCAAATTTTAAAAGCATTCTCTAGACGAAAGGTCGCATCTTTCATTTTGATATCGATTGTCCTTTGGTCGAAGGGTACGTGTGGTCTTGTTAAGGATGAAAGTGGGCTCCGAGATGAGTTTTTTAAGTATCTTTTCGTAAAGCTGAGGGCTTGTTCTATGCCATGGTCAGTTTTGATGCACTTAATAGTCGGGCTTGTGAGTTGGGACCTTTCCTTGAAAGTTCATATGGAGAGGATATCTTGGAGTTTTGATGAGCTCTCTCTCTCTCTCTCTCTCTCTCTCTCTGGCAAAGAAAACTTCCTAGGGGCTGTTAAGTATCTTATCCAACATGATATGACCAAGAATATCAACCATCACCTTCTACATGATGTTCAGAAATGTATGATCACGTGCCAGGAAGTCTCTCTGTGCTAGCCTGCTGCTATAGGAGATGGGGAAAGTGGGAAAGAATATGGGTCAATCAGCCTTATCTTGTTCTTAAAACCATGCATGAATCTTAATACGTACATGGACTCTTTCTTTCTTTCTTTTTTTTTCTTTTTTTTTTTTTTTGGCAAAATACACCATGTGGACCCCTGTCTTATTCCCACAACAATCATGCCGAAGCTACGGATGATAGCATATCGAAATCAGAAGAGAAGCTTGATGCAATATTCCATGGATTTGGCCAATGGATTATTTAAATGGCCATGTGTCATTATTTTATTAAGAGGACTTGACGTTAGATCCTCTTGGAATATTGACTAGTTTTCCATGTACAAACTTTATTAACTCCTCTTTTACTTGCCAATTCATTGCTTTTGTCCTATCCATCAATTTTTACATTTAACATTTTCTTAGAAAGTGGCCTTAGGTGACTGATAGCTCATTGAGAGTCAATTATTTTGGTATAACGAAGGTTGGTGAGTTCCCATGCCAACATTATTTTATGGACGTATCTTACTATATATTCTTATGCACATCATTCAACATATGGGTCCCTACCAATCATATTCTCGTTTTATCCTTTCCATCCTGCAGGTCTTTATTGTTCTTATTTCTACCATATTTATTTTCAATATTGAGCTTCTCTGGTTCACTGCGGACTGCAGGCACGGCGTGAGAATAAAACTCTATTCCACGAAGCTAACAATGATGGGCTGGATTTTCCTATCTATGGAATGCCGTTCCTACCTAGCTTGTTTCATAACAGATTTCAACTCTATTACTTGATTAACCAAAACGGGCTGGGGGCCTAGCTACTGTAACTACTCTCTAACACGTTAACGCTAGCTTAATTCCTCTTGCACATTCCTTAAATTATTCAAATCATCGTGAAGCTGAATAATTAATGATGATAATAAACAAGCAACTCCATCTAGATAACCCACTACCCTATATGGAATATTGGAATATATTAATTAGTTGTTGAAGCTGAAACTTGAATTTTGGTATTATATATATATTAACCATACCAAACAAACTTTACATAAACAAAAATGATACCCAAACAACTTCAAAGTTGCTAATATCTTAGCTTAACTTTTTTTTTTTTTTAAAAAAAAAACATATATGGAAGGCAAGGGGTATATTTTACATGAAGGGAAAATGATAATTTTGCCCCCAAACTATGATGTCTATCCTAATTGGATGCTTCACCTACCAATTTTCCCAATTTTGTCCTTCGTTTATTCAGATTTTGATTTATCAATCTTCTGTTGTGATCTACAATTCATGATTTTATTAAATAAGCACATGATTGCCAGCCATATAAGGTTACTATTCTAGCCAAATTATATCTAAAAATTTGGACTCTATGACAACAAAAAAAAAAAAAAATTGTATTAAAAGCTCAATATATAGTACTATGTGATTTGATGCAAATTCTCAAAAGTATTAGAAGTATTAAATGTAAACTTGTCCATCCGTACATATTAGTTAAGTAGTTAGAGGAAGTTAGCTAATCGGTTAGTGTTAGTTAAACATGAGGATTGTTAAGTGAGAAGCGAGAGGAACATAACCCCTGTTGTATATATACTCGCAATATGCTTGTACGAGTACATTCACATTCAAATTCAAAAAGATTTTTCCTCAATTTCTCTCCGATTAACATGGTATCGAGCCCTAGATTTGCTCTCCTTCTTGAATCGGCTTCGTTCCTCCTCCTTTCTCTAATTCATACTTCACATTGCATGAATTGATTCTTCGAAATACGATTCTCGATGAATCAAGCTCAAAATCACACTCATAGTGCTCTTCCTCGTGACATCAACGATCCTATGTTCTTGTATCCTTCTTATACATCGAATCTAGTGTTGGTTGTGCATTTCTTGAGAGGAGAAGATGATTATAGTTCTTGGAGAAAAGTAATGATGATTTCATTGGAAGCTAAGAGCAAGGATGACTTCGTTCATCGGAAAATGCTCTCGACCAAGCATAGATTCTCCGGATTACAAACAATGGAAGAAATGTAATACATTGGTTCATGCGTGGATATTAAACTCGGTTTCATCACGGTTGTTCAATGGATTGGTTTATTACCGTATTCGTATGAAGTATGGCAGGATTTGGAGAGATTTGACAAACGAGCATGGAGTGAAAATATTTACCCTACACAAAGAGATTAATCTGTTAGTTTAAGGTTCGACATTGTAGTTACATATTACTCAAAGCTAAGGCAATTATGGGACCAATATGATTCACTAATTCCCACGTTAACAAGTGTATGTCCAAGTCTGCAAGCAGTGAAGTTACTTAGCCATTTGTTGAATATACTCAACAACACAAGATGATACAATTCTTAATGGGATTAAATGAACACTATCAGTCGTGAGATCACAAATTCTCGCTAATGAATCCCATGCCCACACATTCACAAGCTTATTCAATTATCTCAAATAAGGAATCACAAAGGGAATTGCTCCACATTAGGACGTGCCTTCTGCTTCTTACTTTGTCGGACAGGGAACTCAATATCACACAAGGTAATCTAATGACGGAACCTCTCGACGCAAGGAAGTGAGTTGTGATTGTTGTCATACTCCAGTGTCATACCAAAGACAATTGCTATAAATTACATGGATATCCAAATTCACCTAGGAGATTTTCGGGGAATCATAGAGGCGGACGAAGTGGTAATACATCTAGTTCGGTGGAGATAGACAAAGGTTATACAATGCTCACAATGTAAGATGTGTGGGTCAAGATGTTTTACACTCGCATCCGAGGACCATCATTCGGTTTACAATTAATATCTAATCCAACATTTTCCCAATCACAATACCAGCAGATATTGGAATTACTATCAAAGAATGGGTCATTAGAAAGGAGTCCTCCTAGTATTGAGCCAGTTGTAAACATGGCAGGTGAATTTTTTTATAGTCTTGTTGATGTTATACCTACTATTGGTGAATGGATAATTGACACGAGAGCTAATGTTCACGAGGCTCATTCAATTGCTTGAAATATCCTAGGAAATTAGCTTCGTACTACACTATTAGATTACCTAATGGCACTAAGACTCGGGTTTCTCATATCGGTTATGTTTCTTTTTCACATATGACTCTTCGGGATGTCTTATACATCCTTAACTTTAAGTTTAATTTGTTATCGATAGCTAAATTCACTACCGACAATAGTTTTTTTGCTTCCTTCTATCCTCATTTTTGCCTATTTCGGGACCTCACAACTCGAAAGACAAAGGGGATTGGTAGAGTCCGAGATGGTCTTTATCATGTCACGTCGGACTCATTTAGTCCAAGCTTTTGATTCAGCCACATCCAATTGTACATTTTCCGGTTTTCATTCTGCTTGTGTAAATAATTTTTTTCTAGTTTCTTGTCATATCGTTGTTTGTAATTCTTCATATACATCCGACGATGTAGCCTTTTTGGCATAAACTTTTTCGCCACATTTCTCTTTCTCGACTTCAAATGATTCTCGGCTTGTCAACCTCAAATTCCGATATGATATGTGATATATGTCCTCTTGTTAAACAAACAAGAATACCTTTTCCATTACGTACTTCTATTTCTAATAGTATGTTTGATTTGATTCATGTTGATATATGGGGTCCCTACGGACATCCCACATATACTCGAAGAAATAGTTTCTATCCATTATTAATGACTTTTCTGTAGGGACATGGACTTCGATATGTGATATATGTCCTCTTGCTAAACAAACAAGAATACCTTTTCGATTACGTACTTCTATTTCTAAGAATATCTTTGATTTGATTCATGTTGATATATGGGGTCCCTACAAACATCCCACATATACTCGAAGAAATATTTTCTATCCATTATTAATGACTTTTCTAGTAGGACATAAACTTTTCTCATGCAAACCAAGTCCTAAGCTTTCCTTTTACTTTAATAATTTTATGTCATGATCCTTAGTTTTTATGTCCCATTAAGAGAATCGGATCAAAGAAGGGTTCGGAATTTATGCAAACCTCCCGTC